TGGGGTGCCTTCGGGTCCTCCCTGAACCCGGCGGCTAGTGCAGGTGGTGCGTATCTCACCTAACTGTCTGACCATAGCAAACAGCCATGTAGGTGCTGCTCAGCACTTGCAGATAGCGCAGTTAAAGTGACAAATATCAGGGTATTTCTTAGTTTGAGTAGTGTTTGTGTTGTGGTACGTACAAGCAAAGAATAGAACAGTGAGTTGCCATGCACAGATATGTGTATGCAATCTTAGTGCTGTATCGTGTTTCCTTGTTACATGGATGAGTATGAAAAACTGCTAGATAATTTTCCTGTACTGGATTTGAACTTTCATGGAGGCAAAGGGTTTCTTCTAATGACTTATACGGACAAAGGAGTGATAAATTAATATTTTAAAACTGTAATTGAACTTATACAATTTAGCTGCTTAATAGATATTCTGATGGCACCCTATTTCTTTTTCAAGACAGTATTGTCACATAGTTTCCTTCAGAAAGATACAAAGTTTCCTTTAGCTACAAAACTTCCTTCACACTTGAATGGTTTTTGTTCATTTCTGCTGCACTATTTTAGGCATAAGCACAAGCTCAGTTTGTTTTGAAAATTTTGTGAATTTCACAAGACGTTTATTTTTAGAGGTCTTGTAATTATCTTTTACCTAGACTACTTTTTCAGGCTTGTTTTCTTGCTTTTATACACATCTGGGAATGGGCTGTGCTGCTGCTGAGACATTTTATAAATTCACGTTCTCTTTCTGTGGTAGCTCAGTGGTTGACCTCCCTTTTCATTTCAGGCGATGAAGGCCAGTCAGTGCTGCTGTTTTGGATTACTGGCAAGTCCAAAATGTGTCATGGAGGCAGTGGAGGAGGCAGATTTCTTCATTTCCTCCTCATCTAAAGAGATGTGGAGGTGTGCTCTCTAAATTGTGGAGTGCACAGGCAGCCCACTGTGCTTTACATCCATTCTGCTGGGGCATCCAACCACCATTCAGTACAGTAGTTATGTTGAGCTGCCTGGACCCCCCACAGGATGTGATGTACTCTGCTTCCCTAGTAACAGCAGGTGAAACCAAAGACCTTTGGTGTCCAAGCCTACTATGTACTAAGTATTCAGGATGCTTAATACTTCCTTATGTAAATGTTCCTGTGTATGTAGTTTGATAAGCTTGGAAAGGACTTTGTAGTTCATTCCTTGTTTTAGACCAGGCTTATCATGAAAATGCACTTTTGTAGCACTTTGCAACAGAGATCAAATCTTCCTGATTTTTGTCTTAGGCTCTTTGTGTGTTTTAAATGTTCCAGTGTAATTTCTCTTTTGATTAGAAAAAAAACATTTGGAGTGCTTGGAGACTGTCATATATATATCTTCATAGCTGTGGTGAGCTTTTTGGATTTTGATACATGAAGTTTTGAAGCATGCCACGTTGTCTGAACACTCTAAGTGACCTCTTTAACTCTCTCATATCTTCAGAGGGCCTTTCTCAAGGATTTTGTATCTTGGGCTGTTTAACTGTGTATAACACTCACATGGTGTTTCTACCCCTGGAGCAGTTGATTTCTGGTGTACTGGATGCCCCTCTGGGTGAAAGCCAACTGTGGCCTGCACTCTGCTGCCAGAGGAATAGAGAACAATGTGTTAGCTATCAGTCGTGGCATGCCACTTGGCTGCCTTCAACTCCAGGTAGTACTGGGGTTCTAACGTGCTTGGCACAGCAGTGCTTAGTGGTGGCATGACTTTGTTCAGGCACAATAATCTGTCAGTCTCCACTCTCCGTTAGACAATGGGACACTCGTCAGTACAGCTGGGGGGGAGTGGAACCTATCCTCTCTGTGGGAAAATCTTTAACATGTCTTACTGAGCAGTTCCATGGATTTGTCAGATGGTTTTTCAGCAGAGGAGACACTGACCTGTGAGGAGGAAGAGAGATTATCTGCATATTATTGCAGTTGAGCACCCACATCACGCATTGCTGGTGCCTCATTGTCTTTCCAGCTAAATAATGCCATGTGTTGGCATATGAGGGTGGAGCATTCAGTACCCACTTGTGCCACATGGGTCCTGCAAGTCTGAGTTCATCTGGATCTAATGTTGTGTATGGGTCATCCAAGTCAGCAAAACTCAGTTCCTGCACATCTAGTTCCCTGAGATTCTTAACACCTCTCTCAATGGTTGTCCACTTGCCCAACCAGTATACAACATCATCCCTAGAAGGATACCTGTTCCTCATGCTCAACAGTAGAGTACTCACTTCCAGAGAGAGAGGACATGCTTTTTTTGCAAGACCCCTGTTATTGACTTCTCTTGCCATCAGTCCAAACTGCTTGGCTTCTCTGTTTTCTAGGTCCAAACCATTGGCTCCAGTATCCCATCATCAGAGCAGCCAAGTAACAAGTAGGTCACCTGGATGACCACTGTAATCTCTATGTATAACTTGCAACTCACATAGAGGTCAAGACTGAGTGGTCACCTATGACTCTTCTGCCTGTCATGTTCCCACAGGGCCTGCTCTTTTTGTGTAATTTCTTTTCTACAGGAGCAACTGATACTTGCACCGAGTCCATGGGTCACTGGGGTTCAGGTAGGTGCAGTGCTTATTGTAGGGATTGAGGTAGCTTCAGGACCTGTTGCAGGGGTTGTGGCAGCTCCTCCATACTCACCTCTATATCAATATTTTGCTCTAAGCAAAGCCAAGAGCTGAAAGACATTTAGAATGCATAGCAATATGATCAGGGTGGTGGAATCCAAGTGTATAACAAATTCTCTTTGCTCACTACTATTTCACAGAAATCTGCATAATTACAAAAGAATTTGTAATACCATAACCAAATGCCAAAGAACTTAGCAGAGAGGCACCTGTAACCCCACACCCAAAAGTGATAAACCACACAAAACCAATAACAAACAGTGATAAAGCCGCCCACAGATCCAAAAGCAACTCTAGAACAAATACCAGAGAATTGCCCAGTGGCCATTCAGCAACATGATGCGTGCATGTAACAGCTAAATCAAATCCGTTAAAACTTCAGCCCTTCAGGACTCTCAAATTAAAGGTGTGAAATTCTCCTGCATGAGCTATCTAAATCAGACCCCAAACAAATATTGGGTGGCAAATTAACCATCTGCGTTTAGCCTGTATCAGGGGCTGAACTGTAGCAGTTGCTTCATCACGCAGTGACCCCTCCTCAGCCAAGAAGGGGCAGTGGGAAAAGGAGGTGAGACTCATGAATTGAAAGGAAAATGGATTTAATGAAGTAGACAAACTAATACCATTGCAACGTAAAGTATGCAAAGTTGTCAGCCCAGCAAAAGAATGGCAGTCACAATAAATGGGAAGGCTGCCCTAGGCAGCCGGAAGAGGAGGAGGCCCTCTATCCTCAGCAAACTTCCTCCTTTGTAATGACAGCAAGACTTATGGTATGGAATACCCCTGTAGCCAACTTGGGTCAGCTGCCCTGGCTGACTCCAAACTGCTGATGCCCTGCAGATCATGGCAAGCTTATGATTCTGTCCCAGCAAAACCAGGACAGAGGGTCTCTAGACCTTAGGCATGTGCTTTATGTTCTGCAGAAAGGGCTGGTTTAGGAACACATGACAATGAATGCTGTGGCTCCAGAGAACAGTTTCCTCTTAAAGATGATAATTTGGTAAAAGCTGTATTGAAAACCATCTGTTTCTCATAGAATGAAGACCAAGAAACCAAATCAAATGGATCCATGGTTTATTAGTTTGAAACACCTGAGCATTAAACACCTCTGAGGACTTTTTGAGGCCTGGTAATGAACAGCCCTGGTATCACTTTTTGATACTGCTGAGTATTTACTCCTAAAATCCTGGCAGCACAGGTAGTAATGGGTAGGATGCTTTCAGTCTCAAAGTTGCCATGTAAGATGTCAGTAGCACAGTAGAATATCTGTGTTTGGCAGCTGCATATCAGAATGATTATTCCCAAACTGTGTGAAACACAAGAAATACTTAAAAGGAAATTCTCAATTTCAGTATTTTTGAGCAGCTCTTTGGCTGAAATGCTACCCTGGAAGAGGTACATAATGTACCTTTTAGATTTTTAAGTGTTAATAGAAACAAAGTCAAAGTTCATATGCATTTGAACACTAAAGTCTTTAAATAGGCATCATACTTCTGTTTTCAATTACTGGTCTGATTGTTTTGTCAGTTAATGTTTCACATGAATTGTACAGTGTTGTTTTGTTGGGTTGTTTTTAAAGACATAAATAATTAGTGTAATTCCTCCTTTAACTTTCTAGGGATGATTCGGAACCATGGGATATCAGAAATAGACCTGTTTGCTGAATTTATAGACAGGAACTTCTAATACTTTCACATTGACATTCTTACTGGAATGTTAGCTTTAGATGACAGAATAATGACCACTTTTTCATGAAGTTGTATTTTATTTTCTTCAATTTATGTTGCTTAACGCTTTCTCCAGCTGGAGTTATTTTCCATCTCTTTTCAGGCAATTCTCTTGTTTTGGATGGTTATTTCCTTTTCTAAGCTCTCCATTAGGTCCCACAGTATTTTCTATGGCATTTCTGAGTTCATGAATGAGGTACCTTTGGTGCTTTCATTTAAAGGAGTGCTCTTTATAGACAGTCTCAGGCAGTGTCTAAAAAACCTCTTTTGTTTAGGCGATGCAAACACAGTTCAATGCGTTCTCTGTTTTTTGTTGGTTTTTTTTCCCTATTTTCATTTCACTGGCAAATTGTTCTTGGAATGTTTTCATTCTCTCCACCCCCAAAAGCTAATTACTACTTGGAAATACAGCTACCTCTTCCATGTTTTATTTTGCTTCATTGTCTTGACTCTTGCCTTTATCTTTTTTTTTTTTTTGGACAAGTTGAATGAATAATTATGTCTGCAACACAAAAAAAAATGTTGCTATTCAGCGATTTTACTGAAATTCCCATATAAAAATTGTAACAATTATATTTATACAAATATAGAAAGATAATTCTTGAGAAAAAAAGGATGCCTGTACTCTGTTTTCAGGGAATAATACTTAGTTTTCGTACTTTCAGTGAATACAGAAAATAACTGGACTTACCAATGACTCTTTCAGGATAGAAGAGTATCTTTATTCATAATGTAGAATATATGGCATCTGCTTTTTGAATGTTAATGTTTCAGTCTGGGCTCTATTGATTTTTACTCTAAAGTATTATGCTTAACTGAGCTTAATCTAGTCCAAAGTTGCATTCACAATTAGAAGAATTGAGGGGTAGGAATGCCTTTGTACCTAGAACATGATGGTGTTGGTCCTGGATTAGAATCACTGGTTGCTTCTGTCTCTGAAGTAAACAGCAGTGATGTATTTCTTTCTGTTGGGTGTTTGGTCAGCTGTGTGATGGCTAAGGCATTAGGGAAGCTATCTGCCTGTCCCTTGAGGCAAGTACTGTCTGTGATATATACATGATAGCTGACAACCTGACAGCAGTTTTGTGGAGCAGTTGCATCTTTTTTATTTATGTATTGGGTTTGATCTATCAGATTTTGTTGCTAGCTTGCCATTTTTCATAATCATCCGAGATCCTTTAAACACTGACAACCAAAGAGCTTTATAGTAAATAAAATTTATATTTTTAAGTTTTAATCCACATAAGTCAAAGTTCATTTATATCCTCAGCTGTTCCTATAGGAAATAACACATCAATGAAATGTGATCATACAACAAAAATCTGTGTTTGGACTTTGTGCACAGAATCTTGTAGAGATGTAGGAAAGAAGAATTCTCACTGAATTTTAGATATGCAAATCACGGTAGTGTGCAAGCAGGTTTCTGCAGTATGTTTTCACTGAGGCCCTGTTCCTATAATATGTACCATTACAGGAATAGACTAACTGAAAAAGTGGGGTTCAATGTGTGAGCACTTAAAAATTAATGGCTTGTAAATTCATTACAAAATATATGTTGTCTTTAAGCAAAGGTTCTTTGCTGTCCAGTAGTTTGCTTCTGCAGAGGTTCTCTTTTGTATTTAAAAATAATATATTTACTTCAGCAGAAACAAATGTAATCTTTCCACCTGGTAATATGTCTGCTTTTGTCCTTGTGCCCAAAATTATGTCCCTTAATTAGGAAAAAAACTGTTGTACTGTACTTATTCCCTTTTAGACATCTAATTCAACTCTTACAGAAGTAAATATTAGCTCTTTGGTGTCTAGTGCTAAAGACAGACTTTCAAAAACTCCTAACTCACAGTTTCACAGTGGTGTTTTGCTTATAGCAGCAACTTCTGTAGTTTAGAAGTTGGCAGGCTTTCAAGAAACTGTGGCAATTATGTGATGAAGCTTTCAAAAATGTGGGGACATTATTCCAGAGGCAGGAAACTGTAGACAAGAAAAGTAGACATCAGTATGACATTGATCATGGTGTTTTAACGTTTCACTGCTGCTGCCCATATAGTTATGGAAGAGGACATATCATAAGAAGATCTATTTTATCTTTGAGCATGAAGTAGTAGGTTGGAATTCAGAAGCTGTAATATTATGAAGAGGGTGACGTTCTGAGAAAAACTGTATATGGGCCTGTTTGATTTTGGTTTGTTGTTCTTCACTGGCTGTGGAGCAAACATTGATACTCTGAGGTTCTCTGACAGAGGTCTACAATGAATGGAGAAATGAAGGAGTTTTACTGCTATCAGATAACACAGCATGTAGTAACTGATATTGCAACATAGCTTGTTAAATATTTAAGCCATTACATCATTGAGATACTTCAATGAGCTTTCCCACCCTCATAGCATCCTGGAATGTTCAGGAATAGATGAATAGCTTAAGTATGCCAATAGAGAAATACTTGACCAAAGCTCCTCCTCCGTGAACTTGAAAAAGATAAAGTCAGAAATACATATCTAGCTTTTGTTCTCTGACTTGAAGTGCTATTCACTTTTCCATTTGGAATAAAGGAGCTAGTAACATTTGTAACCCACAGCATTTATACCTTGAGGCATGTCTTCTGAATTCTACCTAGCAAATGCTTAACTGGGATTATTCTTTTTAAGCTTTTTTTGCCTATAAGAAAAAAATATTTTCAGTTCTTTTTGCTTATATCAACTTACAGGCAACAAATAAAAATAAATGAAGGACATGTGGTGGAAGTCTTGTAGTTTTTCTGTTTGTAGCAGTTGCTCTAGTAAAAAATATTACTTTATAAGCTTTGTCTCATAAGAGTGAAGTTCCTGTTCTGTGGGCATTTATACCCAAATGTTTCCTATGCAGTAGTCCTAGGGGAGGATAACCCTCCAAAGAATTTATGGCTAAATGAAGAAAATAGCCATGATTTTATGTTTCTGAAAGTCAGGTAAGTGAGTTGCCTGAGTGAACTAGAAATATTATCTAAAACCAAGTCCATATTTTCTTATTCACCATCTAGCTGTTATCTCTCAGCTGCAAATCTCTCCACTATCTTTTTTAGCATATTGGAAACGTTCAGCTGTATCAGAATGATATGGCTTTATGATCGGAAAGCTTTTTAATTTTTTTTTATGTCAGCTGAATCAAATAAATAATTTTAAAAGTAATATAAGAAAAAAATACATTGAAAATGAGAGAAGACTATTACTGTATCACCCTCCAGTAAGTCAGTTGGTTCTTGAAAGGATTTATAAAAATGTCAGTATCAATCTAGAAAGAGTTTGGTTTGTATTGTTGTCTTGTTTGTTTGCTTGTTTGTTTTTTCTCTCAGAATAATGACTTATTATTATTCTCACACTTTTTTAGAAGTCATCAGTCTTTATTTAATCCCTATTTCATGTTATCTCAGTCTGCTGAGTTTTTACTTCACTTACTCAAGTGTCTTTTTAGTTGTGCTAGCCACTGTTTTATCATGTGTGGTAACATCATTATAATTAAAAAAATACAGTTTGTGGTGCTCACTCCTGCACATTGTGTGAAGTGTAGTATGAGCTTCAGGTTCATTGATAAGTATTGAAGCTACATATGCCTGGAAATATTTTAGGGTCAAGTACATTATTACTTGTGCTGGTACAGAGTCCTAGTGTATTGACAGGCCAAGATGATGTTTATAGCTGCTGCTCTGAAAAGGTAATAAATATTTCTTCTGCAAATTGTGACATGGAGTGGTTGTTTTGGCTGTTTGAATTAGGTAATTGCTTCCAGTGGCTGAGTTTAGATCAAGGAGTCAAGCTAGACAGACACTTCAATGCTTTTACTTCTCCCATTTTTTGCAAATTTAAAATGTTAGTCAATGAATACTTTATTTTTTGTAACTAATAATATGATTTCTTTTCAGAGCGTGCTAATGAAAGCATCCATCAGCTGAAATATGCCTTGGAGGATAGACAGTTAGCACAGGATGAGGGTGAAGTTGGATTTGACCAGCCCTCTATGGATAAGGGCAGTGGTGATGTGGACAGTGGGAATCCGGCCTGGCAGGAACTGCAGCACAGTCATGCGGGTAAGATGACTATGAAGGCAAATAGTTTAAAAATTGTTAGAAATCGTAGTAATTTAAATGAAAAAAAGTAAATATTTTTTGGTTGTAATGTTCTTTATCTCTTCCTAGTTAATCAACTTAAAGTTTTATTGCAAGACCAAGAAAGAATGGAAAGTGAAGTCTCTGTGTCAAGGAGGAAGATGTCGTTCTGTGTACGTTTCTTGCTTCTTTTGTGTTGTTTGAATGAGGGGCATACATAATTAGGTAGATTTTCTAGTATCTAGGAAAAGAAAGCAGCACCAAATCATTTTTATATCCTGAAATAGGAGATTCCTGAGGCTGTGGCAGAAGTTGGTATATTTATGACCATATTTATGACTTTTTTTTTTTTTTCCCCAACCACAAGTTCATCCTTTTTGTTTTGGAAACAGCTGGGTTCAACTACATGGACAAATTTCTGCAGAAACTGCTGTTTTTCTTTTACGGTGCTTTAAGGATTCTCAAAGGCCTTCTTGCACTGTAGCTATGTTTTTTCTTAAGAAGATTAGAGATGTTCATATAACAACAGGTTTTGTAGCTCTCTGCCGAACTGCAGTGGTCTCTGTCAAAGTTAAATTTATACCCTCACGTGGGCTTCTCAGATTTACTATTCTTGCAGCAGAACTGCACCAAAGTACATGCAATGGACAGTCCAGTTACAGACCAACTGGTAGAAACTAGCATCCCTATAGGAAAATAATTCAAAGGCATTGTTCCAATTATATCTTTTGATGGCCTCCACTGAGTACTTTTGGTTTATACTCAGCAAAATAAGTAGCTCTTTGCTGTCAGAGTTGGGGAAGGAACAGGACAATCTAAAGCCTCTATTCCTGCCGTGTTACTTCAAGCCCTGCCATTCTGACATTGAGAAATTTTATTTAAAGTTCACCTTTTCTTGGTGTTCTGAAATCCATGAGTTTAGTCTGATTGTCCTGCCGGGTACTTTTGCCTCATGGTGGTGCCAGATAGAATGAGTGTTTTGTAGCTCAGGGAAACGGTACATCACTGTTTGATCTTGGCATGACATAAATCAGTATTTGTATTTAGCTTTTGGAGGGGAAATACAAAGATGGGAGATTTATCCTTTTATAAATGTGAGCCAAACTGTTTAATAATTTGGTGAGAAACACAGGCATTTTTTGTATAAGTCGTTATAAGTTGTACTTAGAGTCATGTCTCAGTTTCACTGTCTTAATTATTAAGAAAAAACCTAAATTTTAATCCCTGTTTAAATCTTGCTGAGCAAGACAGAGACATAATTCTTTATCTAGAATAGGCAAGGATTACCTTCATTACCGTCTTCAACTAGTTATTTGTGAGGCTATAAAAAATTTTACCTATTTATAGGGTCTTCAGAATGGTATTTTAAAAGCAATTCTAAAAAATCCTACGATCAGTTCTTTGAAAAACGTAATATCGATTACACATTTTCCTGTGTTTCTACAAAGGTATTAAAATTGCAGACATAGTTATGTTTCTGTAGCAATTGTTAATGAATATTTAGGGGAGTTGCCTTTGATGCACATCTACAACTCATTAAAATTCAAGGGATTTTTATATTAATTTCAGAGAAGAAAGTAGCTCATTATATTTGTCTAGAATGGATGATAATCTAAAATAGTGGTGTGAATTTCACTTACAAATTGGTTTGTGGATATGATTTAATCCTGCTTTGTAGATGTGCTTAAGCAGGTGTGCATTTTCACAAGGGACATGTTTGCTTCTTGTATTGAAAAATTCTTCAATGCAAGTTCTTACTGTTTCTCCCTTCCTCATGATCTAGTACTTGGTGAATTATTATTAAGTGTGGAATTCTGTGTGCAAGCAGTATCTTAATGCAATAAATGAAAAACTGGAAAATAATACATGGTATTCTTTACCTCCTTCAGAAACCTCCAGAAGCTGCACCTGGAGACTTACCAGCCCTTACTGATCTCATTCCTATCATCAATGATCAGTCACAGTACATTAACCATTTAGAAGCAGAAGTGAAGTTTTGCAAGGTATTAGACAACATATTACACCCACTAAAACCCTGATCACTTAAATATGAAGAATTACTTTAAAACCAGCTTTCACTGACTCTTGATAGTGATTTTTGTAATGACCAAAACTGAACCTTACAATGCATCTCAGTGCCTCTATAGTGTTGAAAATTCTTCAAAGACATTTTTATCTCTTGCCATGAATACAAATAATAATTTTTTAAAGAAGTCATATGGAAATTCAAGCTGTAAAAATACAAAATCTATCCTTTGAGTACTGTTATTTTCTCTAAAAGGGTTAAAATAGTTGGGAATGTTAAATCTAGACTTTTGGTCTTGAGGTGTATTTAAGTGTTGGATGATCCGAGGGCTGGAGCACCTCCCCTATGAAGACAGACTGAGACAACTGGGGCTGTTCAGTCTGGAGAAGAGAAGGCTCCGAGGGAACCTTATTGTGGCCTTCCAGTACCTTAAGGGGGCCTACAGGAAAGCTGAGGAGGGACTTTTTAGGATACCGGGTAGTGACAGGACTAGGGGGAATGGGGCAAAGCTGGAAGTGGGTAGATACAGACTAGACGTTAGGAAGAAGTTCTTCACCCTGAGAGTGGTGAGACACTAGAACAGGTTGCCCAGGGAGGTGGTGGAAGCCCCATCCCTGGAAGTTTTTAAGGCCAGGCTGGATGGAGCTCTGAGCAACCTGATCTAGTGGGAGATGCCCCTGTCTGTGGCAGGGGGGTTGGAACTAGATGATCTTTCAGGTCCCTTCCAACACTGACAATTCTATGATTCTATGATCTCAAGAAGCCTTTGACATGCAGTATATCCTATAGGAGGAATTGTCTGGAATGAAAGATCAAGTACAAGTGGTTGTACTTGAGAATGAGGAACTCCATCAGAGACTGAAATTCATAACTGCAGAACACATGTTAAGAGAACAGACTCTTCTAGATGCCTCGGTAAGTTTTTATTTTTTTGTTGGTTTTTTTTAGTCCATGTTCAAGCACCTTATTCTTTTTAAAGAAAGCATGCTAAATGATCATCCACAAACTGAATTTTAGTCAAAATTTAGTGAGAGTTTGTAAACTTGGATTTCTGTGGATAAAATCATTATTTTAGGTTACCAACAAAATTAACTTTTTTTTTATATTCTAATATGATTAAAATGATAAGATTCAATGAAGATAAAATTAATATTTGTATAAACATCCAGCCTATATAATTCTAACTGAAACATTAATGCTTTTATTTTAGGCAAATACTCAGAACTCCTGGCCTAGCTGTGCTAACGACCGTAGTATTCATCAGCCTGTCACCTCATCACCAGCACATAACAAAAATCAGGCTTTTGTTACAGCATCTGCTGTAGAAGTAGAAAAGTGGCATGTAGAACTGGTTGGTATTAATTTTGCAGAGTCAGACTTTTACAAAACCTTTCAGAGCTTTGTTGTTGCTACATTTGTGATAATTAATTTTGTAATGGACATACAGGAATAGTTTTGGTTGACTGAACCTTAATCTTAGGTAAAATTTTATTCTCCTAAACATCATCTTCTCATTATTGTCTCATTAATATTATATCCAGTTAGAGGTAGAAGGTTGTGTCTGCAGATATTGACTTTGCAGAGATAAGTCTTGTTTTAAGAACATCCTGTCAGTGCTGGCTTCACTGTGGAGATTCTTAGCAGTAAGACAATGCACAAGCAGGTGGGAACTGGCTGGTGTGATTTAGGTAGCCTTCCAGGCAAGCTCTTTTGTAGTGAGTCTTTCTGCTCCTGGATCAGCACAGGCTCAGAAGGTTTAAAAAGCAGCGTTGTGCAGTCTGTCCTTCCTAGAGCTGAATTATATACACATTTTGTGCATTTAGAGATGCAGAGGAGCCCTAGTGATTCAGAGGTGACTTTGTCTCTATCCTTTAGTTTGGGAAGATACTCTTAATTTTTTTTTTCTCTAAATTAATGGGGTAGTGTTGCTGTCTTTTGGGAAAAACATAGTTAACTGAAAGTTCTGGTGTTTGTTTATCTATGTGCCTGTGTGTACTGTGGAGTTTAAAAGGTACTTTAATTCTTCCAGATAATTATATTTTCTTAGAAAAATATATTTTTGCTGGGTTTGTGCATCATCTAGAGCTGAAAACCTGTTCAGTGATCCCTAATGCCTGCAGTTGTTTGAAAGCTGATTTTTTACAGTAATTATACTTTCACTTCATATGCCATATTTAACACAAGAGAATCTTATTGATTGTGATTTCTTTCTAAGCACCATAGTGAGCTAAATTTCAGGTGCTTTATCTGGTTTGTTTCCATCATTGTATTTAACTTTTATTTATATACTTAGTTCTTCATCAAATACTGAGAGTAACTTACGGTGTTATGAATAAATAGCCTGTCTACTTGAAGTTGGTTAGAATTCCTTTGTTTATGCTGACTTGTGGGAGAATGAGAGCAAACTCGAGACAAGATCCTCAGTTTGTATAAATTGTCGTGGAGTGGGGCTGCACTTGGAGCTGAAGCAATTTAGCATTTGAGGATCTGACAAGATGTATAAGAAACAAGAAAATGGGAAGGTTGCTCTTTCTAGATTTCTCTGACACTAGTGTTTCAACAAGTTTATATCTTCAGGGAAAACAATGTGGCTAACGTCTAGATTTATTTGTAAGACAATATTATGAAGAAATCAAAAGACACTTCTTTTTTCCCCATCTTTTCTAAAGGAGAAACTAAAACTTTTTTATCAAGAAAAAGTCAATATCCTTGATGCTCAAGTACAGTCTCTAAGGTAAAGACTTTTTTTAAAAATTAAAATTATTATTAATAAATTATCGCTTCATAACTGCATGAACCACTCTTAATTTGAATTTAAGAGAATGTGTGAATGTTGTGTTTTCTGGTATTGTCCCTGAAAGCTGTTTTTTGCATGGTTTTCTCAAATATCAGTGTAGCAAAATTGGATGTACTACTAGTATATAGCAACATTAGCAGTATATAAATTTTATAAATTCAATTAAATTATTGTAATTATAGAACTTACAACTTCATATAAAATGCCTTTATCCTTTTTATCCTTTTTCTTTATAAAAACGTCATGTCTGTTAATGTAGACCGATCAAAGAAAAAAATTGAAGTTACAGTTTTTAACTCATGTGAGCTCTTCCATAATTAGCTCTCTCTACTAATAGTTTATTATCACGAGTTTTAGAAATCTTAAGCATTGAACTAGTTCAGGCCACATAATGGTTTTGGAGCAGGAAGACATAGTTTTGAAGCATACAGGCACTATTTACAGTCACGTCTTTATCTTTAAACACAAAAATATTTGAAAATAAGTCCTTGTGTATTCCTGAAAATATTAAAGGCTTGAATAGGTAGCAAACTGTGGAAAAACAGAAGTAGAGGCAACCATTTTAGGGTTTCATGAGTAAACTTTCCCCTGTACACCTGTATTATTGATACTGCTGCTGAATCTGTTTAATTATATTTTTCTCTAAATAAATTGTAGTTTTGTGCATCTGAAAACTCTAGACTTTTGATTGTGTATAAAAAGTTTAAATACACCCCCTGCAGTGGTGATATCTCAAATATGCAAAGCAGTTGTGGTAGTGAAAGTAAAGGAGGATCTTAAATTTCAGCTATGTAATCCTTTTTTTTTCCCGCCCTTCACTTGGCTTCAAGAGTAAGATATACTCTGAAAGAAATATCAGAGACTAAAATAGCCTAAAAATTTCCACAAGTACCTTATTCAACATCTTGATTTCTCTAAAGCGGCATGATTTTTCAAACTGTAAGTTCTCTAAAGCACTTCAGGTTTTGTTAAATTTTAATTAAAGTGAGAAGTTATATTGCTTTCAGTGCAACTATCCTTGGTTTTAACTTCAAGCATGAATTTACATAGGACTCACTGATTTCTGTCCAAGATTTCCCAAGAATAAGTCTGTTGTAGCATGACTGTCTAAGGATATATGTAGAGCAAATTCTGTTCAGGTTATAGTGGATTATATTTAATAGATCAACTACTAAAATTGGAAAAAGTGCACAGAAGATTTCCCAGATGGAAATAAGCATGCATGCAGTGTATATATCATGAGCACAGTAAATCCAATGCAACCAGAACGTGTCAGACTTACTATGTGTGTGCTGCCCAGATGGCCTGCATAACAAACCAAAAGTTTTGGACTCATTGCACAATTTGTCAAATTGATCTATATGTGCACAGTGTGCGTTTGTCTGGAACTTCCTGATGTCAGCATTCCTACTGCTTGCACGCTCCCCCGGCTTGACAGATGCTTGGAAGTTCTGGAGAAAATTCTTCAGCGCACCTGGTAAAAATTTCAGAGACAAGTGAAAAATTTACCGTTTCTCTGGAGATGTGGTTGACCTTAGGTTTGTGTGCATCGATGGATCAGGGCAAATGTACCAAATACATTTGGATTTTGTCTAGGGAGCGTAGGGGAGTTTTATTTTACTTCATATTGTAACTTTACAGTTAATTTGAGTGTGGAGTAGAAATGTGAATCTAACGATATTGTTAGTAAGAACAAAAGAGAAAATGTTAGTATTGAAATACTCAGCTGATAGCGTTTCCTGCCAGTGAATCTTTTACTTTGTTCAGACAATATGCAAGCTTGTAAATTTTATCTAATAATTTTCTGCATAACTTCACTATTTTATGATACTATAGAGGGAAGGAACAAATTAATATAATTTTGGCTTGTCTATCAATAATTTTGACTGGGCAGTTCAACTAAATGAAAATTTCTAAATTTCTAAATGAAAGTGTTCCTTAGCCTACTTGAAATGTGTAAAATAACGTTCATTACAGAGATTCTTACATTTCCTCTCTAGGTTGCCTCTGTAATTAGGTCCTGCATATAAATATAACTTGTAGAAATGTTTGATTGCCCAAATAATATTTTTTATTTCTTCTTTCTAGAAAAGACCTTTCAGAATCTCAGAAGACATGCAAAGATTTGGAAGGAAGGCTAAAACACCAGAAGTCACTCGTTTCCGCCACAAATTCCACCCGGGCCGGTGGTTTGTGTCTGAAATGTGCACAGCATGAGGCGGTTCTTGCACAGACTCATGCCAACCTTCACGTGCAGACCATCGAGAGATTAACAAAGTGGGTTTGAAGGGTATTTACTTTCTCATTGAAAGTACAGTTGCTTATATTAAACCCTATAATTCTCAATGTGTTGGGTTGCATTCACAGAGAGATGTGTGCTTACAGAACAATGGACTCCCAAATGGATGTTAATATGAATTTAGATCCCAACCACTTTGATAATCCATGGTGAATTTGCTACTTATTTCAACTGAGACAGAATGTTAATCACTATCTTGTAATTATGACATGTTGAGCTGTCCAGATAATCAGGCTGTTGATAGTCTGTTTTCTGCAGTTTTTTTTAAAAATAAACCCTTCATTTTTTCAGAAGATCTATTATGGAAGTCCATGTATTTTGATTATTTTGTGTAAAATTTCCCTATTTTTCAGTATCTGAAGTTTTTCTTGCTCCTTATTCTCCTATTCTCCTTATATTTGGAGGACTTTTAGGATACATTAGCAGTGTCATCTTTTTTTTTTCCCCCCCCCTTGCAGTTGCCTCGTAGGTCAGATATTTGGGATAGGATGTATTGCTCCTCCCTAACTATAATAGGTTGGAGAATATTTTGGCTAGCAATTAATGAAATTATTTGCTGCAGCCTTTTTTTTTTAATTGTAGCTTTTATTTATATGATTTTTTTTAAAATCACTTTACATGCTGAATATAATATATGTAGTTCAGAAATCCCAACACCATTGAAATGCTTTTTTCTTAAGAAATCCTGCTAGTCATCTTTTAAAATCTCTCCCTTTCTACTTCCTAGTAATAATGATAGGGTACCGCAGCTTTCTCAAAGTTTATTAAACAGACATCTATTTATTGTCAAATATCTGAAGCTTCTTAGTATTTCTGAAGTTTTAGAATGAGCCTGCTGGAGTTGAGGTAGTGGGTCAGTCAGAGGCAAGACAACTGAAAGGACATAGTACATGTAGTCTGTCAAATGGATATTATCTCTACGTGTTAGATGGCTGTTGCCAGGATTTATATATTTTTTCTATTGTCAAGTCCAAGAATTTTCTAGGAAAGCTCCTGCTATTCAAAAGTCATGTTTCAAAATTTACTTTTATAGGAAAAGTAATTATTTGTCATAGACACTGGAAAATATGAACAAGCTATAAATCAGTATATTCTTGTCGCCTAGTTTGAAATAAAACATTTGAGTTGACCTATTTATCTTTCTTAAACCGTTATTTCAGTTTGAGATTTAGCAAAATCTGAAAGCTGAATCTTCCTGTGAGTCAACTTATTACAAAGATATTTTTGCAGGGAATTTCAAAGGGACTTTGTCCAAATCTTTTTGTAAATGAAATTTGAAAATACAATTTTTAGTTCTCTGGCAAATACAACTGTGTTACCGTTGCATACAACATGAAGAAAAGAAAAAAGCAAAACTCAAACACAACAGTTTTCAGCCAGAATCTCTAGTTGCACCTAAACCACAGACAATTAGACTCTTAATTCAAGAGCTTTCAACATATCGAAGTAAGGAAAAGTTGAAGTATTACAGTTTTAACTACTGCTTCACCAGTTAGTATAGATCTCAGTTTCTTATTTAATGAAAGTTCAGAGGGGATGTAGAGTCCAGAAGTCTTATTGCGTAGTTTAGTTCCAGTTTGCAGCAAAGTACTATTGATTTTCATTTGATGTAGTTAGAGATTTGAATTATTTGTTGAACCTAACCCTTCCTTTTATTTTTTGTTCTTATTTTACATTTAATGACAGTGTAATCTGTTACTTCAATTTTTTTTTTTTTTTTTTTTTTTTCAGAAACATGCCTTTTTTCACATTTGTTTTGGTTTTAGCGTGGATCCCCATGTTGTGCTCAACTTTGATATATTTATAACTCGAGCTCTGCTGTCATTACTGTCAGTTTCACTAATGGTGGGCCTTGCTGAACTGAAGGACTGGTCACCAAACAAATATCTGCCAAGCAAGCAGTGTGGTCTCTTTCAGTCTTAACCAATGCTGGTTGTAGTCTTGCGTTACTTACCACCCTTATGTCTTTTATCTGTTAATGTTTTATGTTTTATATATCTGTTGTTTGCGAAAAGGCATAGAAGAAATGCCTGTTTTTTTCTTAATATGCAGAGAAAGAGATGACTTGATGGGTGCACTTGTTTCACTGAGACAAAACATGGAAGAAATGCAGAAAAGAGAATCTAATGCTTGTGAGCGAGTTAAACAAGCTGTGCAAATGGCAGAAGAGGCCAATTTGGAAAAAACAAAGGTAAATTTATCAAGAAATGAGAGCTGACAAGCTCTGAGAAGTATTCAGACCTACTGCAGATGTTAACTAGTTTTCACACTAATGAGAAAACACACACAGAAGACCTTCACCACATGCTGATATGATGTAGTAGATTTAAAAGGATGGTACTAGGTGACTTTCTGAGCAGTAACATGAACTCTATATTTGCGTTATTAAATTCTCATCTAGGCTGCAGGGTGTGTTACATTCTCAGGCCATCATTTAAATTCTGATGTAGTTTCACAGCTAAGTGATAGAAATTGAATGGTAGAATTTTCAAAGGCATTCATGCCATGTAGGGGGATAATTCTCATATCACATTTCTGAGCTACTCTGGAAAAATTACTTAGAAAGCTTGCAAACAATTCTTTTTGCCTCAGATGAATGCAGTGCAAGAACTGATAAGCTAACACAACTCTTTGAAGATAGGAAGTCCTGTCTGATGCTATCTGCAGGAAGCTTTGCTTTTTGACTATGCAAATAATAATGACAAAACCAGTTTTGATCTAATGCTTGTGTTACCCCTAGTTACTATGTACAATCAACTGATACTGACCTAAATTAATTCCTTGATATTTAGTGACATCTACTGTATTATTAGTGAATTACTATGCAATTGAGAGACCTTTTTAATAACTTAGAGTTTTTTAATTACATGCTCTTGGTTTTAATACTGTAAAAGATTGGCATAATATTTCTGTTGATCAAAACGGTGTAATTCATCTCTGTAAAAGTGTGTGTGTAGTGTCTTTAACTATAAACAGTGAGGAAAAAAGATGGAAATCCTATGTACTTCTTCAATTTAAATTCAGAGTGTTGTGGGTCCTTGGTTTTTACTGAACAAAGAGAGAAAAAATCCTTTTGAGCCCACTGTTCACCTGTCAAACCCCGTCCCTGCGGTGTTACATTTTAAAATTGCTCATTTGTTAACTTTTTTTGGAGTGGGTTCTACAGTTGTCCAACAGATACATTACTTTTCCTTTTTTAATTTGCTGTTGGACATCTTTATTTTAATATTTAAAAAGAAAATCCCTACAAATTCTAATTCAGTGTAGCTCATGTTAATAATACAGCCTAAGAATAAAATTTAGTAAGATAAATTAGTGGAACCTTCAATAAGATGGGTCTTTTATCTATACCATTTCTGCCACATAAAGAAAACACCATAGGGTCTATACTGGCCACCCTCTTCACTGCAGCAAGGAAATGTGAAGTGCTGCTGTCTATTTGTTGACAAGACTGAATCGTAGTCTGTTTTTTCCATGCTCAAAAACTTCTTGTGATATGAAGGAAAGGAAAGAAAATCTTAGTAGTAGTAAGTAAAATTAGGATTTAGGATTTTTGCCTGTACTGGTGTACCTAATGGAGACTGTTAGAGCATTCTCTAAGAATTATGATATAATTTGCTTCCCTCATGAACAGCCCAAAGCCAAGGAAACTGCATGTAGGGGATTGAATTTGAGTAAAAGAAAAATAAGCAGTTCAAGAAAATGTATTTAAAAATACAGAGTAATAAGGTAGGAAACCTACAAGGAGATTACTTTAGCTGCCTTGGAATAGTATATATTGAATTATCAGTGAAATAATAAAATGAAATCTACTCATAGGCTAGCAAGCTGCCTTTAGGGTTTACTTTTAATGGAGTAGTGTATTTCTGATTTAAACTGACATAAGACTCAACTGCTATCCCTTTGGCAGAGATACATCAGCATAAGTTGATAGTTTTTTTTTTTTCCCGGTTTTTTTTAGAAGATAGTGTCTATTGTGCTTCTTGCATATGAACTGGTGTCTCTTCTGTTTTGATAGAAAACACATCTATAAACAAGTGGATTAGCACTTCAAATTAAGAAGTACCTCTATGAGTTTTCAGTAGAATTAGTCTTCTTTATTTGACAGATTTCAAGCTAAAAACCACCACTGTTTCTTTGCATCTTTACTTCTTCCAGGTTTCTTCTTAGCCTGCTGCACTCAGTAATTCACTTCAAAGGGAGAACAAGTGGAAGTGCATATATTATTTGTTAGATTATTATTCCTTCAGCTATGCAGTTAGTCAGTAACCACAGTGTTTGCAAGGAGTCAAATACTGGAGGACAAGTCTAGTGATGTATATGCAGGCATTTTAAATGCAAGGCAAATAATTATCTTGGTTCTAAAAGAAACATCCAGTTATTGGGAAAATACACTTTGAAAAATCCTTCCATCTTTGCCTTGCCTCCTAAAAGCAATTCGATTTCTGAATTACAGTAGAGCATGGATATACATACAAACATACACATCTATTTTCAATTTGTTACTCCCTTTCTAGATGTTAACGTGTATATATAAACATCATAATAACCATGTAAAAAACCAAAAAGTTCTTTCTAATGACAAACTGGTTTCTCTGGAGACATTAGATAAATACCATATTTGTTTAAAATTTTAGCTTTCTTCCACTTAAAAAAATTGTTTTTTCTAGGCTATAGACCAGTGTGAGCAGCTGAAACGTGAGATGGAACGACAGAAGTGTCGCCTTGAAAGGGAGTTAGTTGCCCAGCTAAATAAGAGGGCTGAGGAAGAAGAAGCACTGCGGGAAGAAACGAAGAAGGAAAGGGAGAACTCGGCAGCAATGGTATGAGTTGGATTTTTTTCTGTGTGTATTATTACAAGTGTATTGTCCTTTTTAAACTTTCTGTTTGCTTGTCTTTCATTTCAGTTATTTGATTTGAGAGCTCAGTTAATCACTTTTATGGCTTTAAAGCAGTGGTAGATAAGTGATCCATTGAATTTGAACAACTGGGTTTTATGCTGTGTCACTAGATACATGCAAAGTTGTTAATGTTATGCATTTCATTTTAGTTTGCATAAGATTTTTTAATTCATTTTGTCAAAGTAGGAAAGGTTTAAGTAATATGTGAAGCAAGGTTTGTACCTGGCTTCTTTAAAAGATTATTTAGGTTGCCAAATCAGAAGTTAGCACACGTCAAATTTAGTGTTCTTTGCTGCTTTGAGCATACATATACATTAATGTTACAATATCATAAATGCATTCTAATATGGTATTTTTTAGAGTGATCTTACCATATGCTTAAATTACTCACCTGAAGGACTGTGTTGGAATCTTTTTTTCTCACTTTTACTGATGTTTGTAAACTTTCTGAAGCAGAATCCGTCACACCATTCATACAGCGATGGTTGCAACAGACCCTTGATAACTTGGTTTTAAATTTATAGCTGCTACTATAATTTGAGTATAAAACATACATACAGAGTCTTCTGGCCAATGGAATGTACAGCGCTAACAGCAGTAAGCCTGAGAGATATGACAGAGGGAGCACTTTCAAGGTGATTGGAAAAAGAAATGGGAAGAAGAGCAGAGAAAGAAATGCTCCATGAATTAGTGTTTTTCATGCTTGTTTGATGTGCAGTCTCTCCAACCATTTCCTGGTGGAGATTTGGAAATGTTATAGTGGATATCTCTTCTAATGGTAGACTTTTTCCAGATTTTTTGGCTCTTTTTAGACATACGCCATACTGTTTATAAAATATGGAGAGCACAGACTGAACAGGATAAACTATGTAAGTGTTTAAAAAAGAGGAGGTTCTTTAGTACTGTTGCTTGAGAAATGGCTGGAAAGCTATTAATATTAACAGGGAGCCAAGGTTATATTTCTGATGTTATGAGATGGTGGAATAATGTTCTGAAGCTGCTGCTGGAAGTCAAAGGCTTTAACTCCAGTTCCAAATACTAAGCCAGGGGCTAAGTGATGATTAGGAAAGTGAGCCAAGTAATAGAAAACTTAACCTTACACTGGAGACAGACATTATTAAGAAATTCCCTGTTCAAGTCCTTGCTATCTGTTGGAAGTTATCTCTCATGCATTGAGCTGTTCAGTTGCAGATTTGCCTTGGAGTCTAGTACACACTCTGAAGTACAACCTTTTAGACAAGCATTATTCACTCCTTCATGTCATCACATTATTTTGTATTTCATCACCCACTGAAATGTGTTTTACTGGAACTGATTCTGACTTTCTGTACTTGCAGTCCTTTTTTAAAAAATCCTAAATGCATATTAAACAACATCCAGTGATACTATGACAATGTGGGATGACTTTGTACAAAACTGTCATCTATAAGCATGTTTTACGCCTACCTGTGATTAACTACTTTTATGTTTTGGGATTATGAGATGGTAGAAATGGTATACTGTGCATTATGTCAGCCTCCACATGAATATTTTATCATTTACTTTATGACCTGATTTGTTTGAAGGGAAGAATTGGCATGATATGTAAATCAGGTGGATGTATAATGAGTGAAAAATAGTTCTGAATATATAATCTTCTAGGTTTGGCTTTGGATTCCTATAAGTTAACCTAAAACTGTCAGACACCATTATTTCCACTTATATTAATAAGCTCCAGGGCTAAATAGCTGAAGAGTAACTGTCTCTGTTTTATTGTTACTTTTTTTACCATTCAGCAAAATTTGACCTGATATTACATTAACATTTTTAACATACCATTTCTGTATGGTTTTGTACATCATGCTGAAATGTTTTCTGAACTTAAAAATTAATTAGAGATCTGTGGTAGCAATGAGTTTTTGTCTTTAGCGGGAAGAATATGATTTGGTTTAAATGAATCTACATAGGGTTGGATAAGGTGTTCAATAGTGCTCTTACAGCTGCAAGACTAATGCAACCAGCAGCTTCTGACACTGTCCGTGCTAAGAAGTCCTGGAGACTTGTCTGGTTGATGAAAAGTTTCAAGTAAACTACTGTATGAAAAATAAATCAATTCAAAATAATGAACCTATTGTTAAGAATTGTTAGTCATGCAGGTATATATTTATTTATATTTTAGTATATATGATATTGCAGTTTTTTTAATTGCATTTCTAATGCTGTATATTTTGGCTACATGCAGTAGCTTTCAAGGAGAAAGTCCCACCAGATATAGATCTGTGGTTGGTCAATTTGTATCTTTCTTGTGTTCTTTGGCTTTTTGCAGGTGACGGCCGCATCTGAAAATGTGGCCAAGTTGGAGGCTCAGGTAGAGAGAATTACAAGGGAGAAGAACTCACTAGTTAACCAGTTAGAAGAATCACAACATCAGCTTGCGTCTCATGAAATGGAGATGAATAAGGTGGGCACATTTATAAATGAGTATTGAGCATGATTTTCGTTATCATTGTGAAATGATAGATGAGAATTTTTTTCTTTCTGTATTTTCCTCTGTATTGGTAAAGAGCATGTGATAAACCTAAACTTCATCTGAATATCCCAGAGGCACAGTTTTATGAAGAAAAAGATAACTTTTTCAGTCTGACAAGTCACCTAGTGATGCAAAAGCTAACCTTTCTACCTTGCAGACTATGCAGATCATTATTTAAAACTGCAATCTAGTGTTTCATTAAAAATTGCATTTGGTGTGTATGAGACAACATAGTATTCACCCCTGTCTTGTAATTGCTACCTTTGAGACACGCAGTGCTAAAGTAAAGGGAGCTGGGTGAAATCACTGGCTATTCAAGTACTTTCCTGTGGAATTTATATGTGGTATACTGATTTATTCATTAATACTGATGGTATGCCTTTTACAAAGAGCTCTTTCTTCCAGTTAAGAATTACAGTTTGACATCTATCTATGTATATGTACCACTTCCATGTGCTTTATTTTGCACGTTTCTCAATCTATTAAAGCCTTAATGTGGATCATAACATGAAAAAGAAAAAATTTTCATTCAAGATTTATGCTGGGGGACAACACGACAAAAAGTGTTTATTTTTATTAACTTAGTTTCATTATTCACTTGCTATAGAAATAACTTCAACTGCATGAAGATGAGGAGATGCTAAATTTCTATAGAACAGACAGTGTGGGACTTCAAATTTGTTACGGTTCTTTGAAATGCTTATATACCTTACCAATAATCCCAGGGCACATCCTGCCTTCCCATTTGTTAATTGTTAATTTGTTAATTGCAAGGTGTGGGGAAGCAATTAAATCTTTAGGTCTCTAGAGACTTCTGGAGACATTTTCAACAGTTCCTGTCTTCCTCTGTTGCCCCTGCTGGTAGAAATAGGTGAAAGTATTGCAAAAAATTTACAGCAAAAAGTCATCCAAACTTACTAGAAAATGTAATCCCATTTCAGCTGAAAGATAAATGAGGGAGAGTATTAAGAATGTCAGAATAGTTTGATTTACCATTTTTAAACACACTTTCAGATTTTCAGGCTGGGCTCACAGATGACTAGCACTACCTATGGAGGTGGGGAGGCAGGCAAAGAGGTGGTAGGTATAACCATTGGTCTGAAGAGAAAAATTTTATAGCCTACCAGCTTGAAGCAATCTCTCAGGACAGTGACGCTGTGCTTCCAGTCACTGCTTCAGTTGATGTCAATCAATGCAAAATTGAATAGGTGGCCACCTTGCTGTAGTCTCTTCTGTGTTTTTATTGCACTGTCCTCAGAGACTGGAAAAGCACATTTGTGTCCCATGTCTCAAAGATTCTGGAGGAACGTCCTGTCCATTGAGATGTCAGGACTATGTACATCAGACTGACCTTTTTCGTTGGCTGTGTAAGTGACATCTGTGTCTGTGAATCTGACTCCTTGTTTCTACACTTGGTTAGCCATTTTTAAAAATAGCAAATAGCAACATTTTTCCATTTGAGTTTTATCTGAAAGTTTTTCCTGCGTGCACCAGAAGTCAAGGGAAAAAATGTTTAGGAGTGAGAATCTTTTTCCTTCAGTCTGAACAAGGAGGAGACTGAAAAATCCATTATTAGGACAGCACCATCTGCTGATTCTTCTGTGTTATTCACTTTGCACTAGTTGAAAGCAAAGATGGATGTGTTTTTTTATTTTGGTTGGAGGAAGTGACATATACTTTGTTACATTCTTTATATAAAGGAAAGAGGAGGTAGAAAGAGTTGGCAATCTATGCAATTGCATCTTAGGATTTTTTAGTTGCATATGGTATTTCAGCTTAAAAAAAAAGGAAGCTTTAGAACTTTGCCTTCTTCAGAGCATTTGCTACCTTGCTTTATTTGCAAGGGAGCTGAAATCACAAGCTGTCTTTGAATTTATAAGTGACACTGCTTTGTAAGGTTATTACTGTTGATTTTTATTTTTTTCCAACAGTGCTTTAATTGCAGTATACATATTTACTCTTACCTTACCTTTCCTTTTTTTTTTTTTAAGAGGAAGAAAGATAGTAAAAATGGGAAGAAATATGAGACTGAAAAATAGACATTAATTTGGGTTATAGAATGTGTGAGGAGATCGTTGAGTAGCACAGAGGATTGCAGCAGCAAATTAAAGGTGTGCACATTTAGGAAGCAAGTCTGGTGAAAGAAAGTAAGTGGGGCAAGGAAGCAGAATGAGTTGGAAGGAAAGTTCTCTAAGAGTAGCTGCAATTAAACACATTTGTATTCTCATTAGGGAACGTGCATGTATTTATCTTTGGTTAATTAAGGTGAAACGAGCAGGCACAAATTGCAGATGATTGCACAGAATAAGGACAAAAAGGGGACAGCTTGTCCAAAATCCTTCTCCATTCCCAACAGATAAGATCAAACAGAATCCAGTCAGCATGGCTTCACAAAGGGCAA